ACTTTACACTTTCTGCAACTTTGTCCCGGGTTGAATGATCTGGATCGAGAGGGCTAATGCCACCTTGAATGAACCCCGCCATTGATCGCCGCGTTAGCGACCACGTGCTGCGCCTGCAGCGCTACTAGAATCCCGCCAACGACGGAGGTGGGTCCTCGAAATCTGCGTTTGGAAATTTCCAGGGGATAAATTCTGGTCAAGGTAATTGCTTGTTGTGCATCTCATCTTTCGGCTAGCTTAAACACGACAGAACACACGTAACGTGGAGAATATGCAATCTGAGAGCGAACAAGAGAAGATAGGGAGAAAGACATGAGTCAAAAGGCAGAAGGCGACGCACGCAAGGATCACGACGGGCGCGGGGATCAACCCGTCGAGCATCCAGATCTGGAACACACCTTACAGATAACCGAATCTGCTTGGCACGTGTTGAAGGCCGAACAAAATTCAGAACACGGGTTCCCTAAGAGCTTATCAAGTTTTTTCAAACCTAGTTACACGAGAGATTGCAATATGAACATACAGCGAAGTGCATTCTCTCCGTTGTTCCGTACAGAGGCGACCCCCGCGCGCGGCCCGCTGCGCCACGTGGAGGACAGCGACGAGGAGGAGGAGGCCAAGGTGGACAACACGATCTTCGTCAAGTACGACCGGCTGCTGCACGGCGACAAGCGGACACGTGGCGCCACGCGGGAGCTCCTGAACGTGCGCTTCCTCAAGAAGTACATCGGCTACGCCAAGGAGCGCTGGACGCCCACGCTGACGGACGAGGTGCGTCATCTCGCGCCCTTGTGACGTCGGCTTTTGCGTTCTGACGTCATTCCTTACCTCTCGTGTCATTTTGTAGTTTTAGCGTTGTACATTACGTAGTCGTGGTAGTGTCGTACTTGCTCAAAGTGTTTCAGGGCTCGAAACTTTGTAACCTCGTAAAGAGGCGAGGACCGGTCCTAATCCAACCGACCATATTGCCCCGCAACAAAGCCAGTTTGGTCGCCGAAAGGAGTTTCCAAGATCGAATTTGAGCCGTCCGGCTTTTTGCTCAGAATGTAGGTGCACGTGTGTACCTTGAAATCTGACGCCCTCTTTAAGCCGGTCTCTGACGTCAACTGTTGGGACTTTGCCGGTGTGTCGGGCTGTCTTTTCCTCTGGCGTCTTTCACGTCTCTAGGGCGCTTTCCGCTTCGTCTCGCCACATCCGTTGTGCATTCGGGCCTTCTTTCACCCGTTGCTGGTAGAGTCTCTGACCGCAGAGTTTGTTCCTTTGCAACTTCCCTGAGCAACCATCCTTTCACGTCATAAAAAGGTGGAAAACTCCGCTCCGCAGCTCTTTGGTTTTGAATACATAAGAAGAAGATGCGTAATTTGGCAACTAGACTATCTATTTGGCAACTAGACTATCTATTGAAGTACAATACAGAGAAGAGAGCACCGTATGATGCCAATCCCAGCAGCACGGAAGTCTGGCTGGAGGGGGCGTGATCCCTACTGCAGAGCAGAGCGTCTTCCGGCGAAAGAGCAAGCCTTCGGAGAGACTCAAAGCTTATGAGGAATTTGATATCTTGCAGGCGGCGCAGAAGATCTCCGAGAAGTATTCCGACATGCGGCAGAACGCAGCGGACCCAGCAAGCGGGGTGAGTGACAAAACCCCTCTGTGGGCCGCTTGAAGAATCTTGAGGCGTGCGTTTTGCACACAAAATTCCTCGATGGCGAAGCTCGAGAGGACGGTTTCTGAGGCAGTCTGTCGCCGAGACACCTAGCATCGTTTTTAGGTAGACCAACCTTACTTCCGTCCACTTCGCAGCAGCATTTTATTCCTGACAGTCATGACACGTATCGTATGCAAAGCTTGCGTCCTCTAACGGCTGCTCGCTTCTTATCGTATCTGACGGCGACCTTGAAGGACCATTCTAAGTCAGGACCCCTCTGAATGTCCCTTCAAATGTGTCCAGGATGATCCTTTGTCAGGACAGTCATAAAAGGGTTTTTTTGACGTTGAGATCAAAGGACCTTTTCGAGAAGTTTGTGGCACATTCATCTCGTTCGTGATCCGTGAGTCCTCGGATGTCGAATCCCCAGACCTCTGATTCCTAAATCTCGAAACCCTAAATCTCTAAACCTGTGAACCTGTAAACCTGTAAACCTCTAAACCCTAACCCCCTAGATCTCTGAACCGCTAACCCTCTAAACCTTCCCACAGACCGCGGCGCGCCAGACGCTGCCCATCACCGCGCGCACGCTCGAGACGATGATCCGGCTGTCCACCGCGCACGCCAAGCTGAAGCAGCAGAACACCGTGACGTCAGCGGACGTGGACGCGGCTCTGGAGGTGCTCGAGTTCGCGATCCACCACAAGGAGCAGGAGAAGAAGGACGACGGTGCGGAGAAGAAGAAGAAACGCGCGTCGGAGGGCGGGGCGGGCGGGAACGAGGGGGGCGACTCCCCTGGGGGAAATGGGCGGTGAGTGGGATGATTTGGTCGCCCGGAAAACATGGGCGAAGATGTGCTCCTTTGTTGGCTTGGCGGAAATGGGCTGTGAGTGAAATGGTCCGTGCAACCGGGGATTCTGGGCGGTGAGTTGGATGATCGGTCGGCCGGAGACTTCGGGCTTTGAGTGGGACGATTTCTCAGTCCGGAAAATGGGCGGTGAGTGGCATGGTTTGTCAGGTACGATGTGCGATTGCGGAACGGGAGTCGTTTTTTAAGGAGTGGGCTATGAATACGAGGAAGCGCTATTCCTAGACGGTCGAAGGAGTCTGGGGAGGGTAGGTTTTTGAGAACATTACGTCGGGACTGATTTCGATTTTTGAAGACGTGGTATAGGACCAGAGGTTGGATAAGACCAGAAGAAAGGGGGCAGCAGGCGGGAAAGGAGGGTGTTTCTCTTCATGTCCTTGACTTGACAGAGCCAACTCGTAACGAGCCTGAAGCGGAAGGTTCATTGCAGCAGTCGTACACAAGATCGTTTGCAAACGGCCATCTGTTGCTTTTTCTTCGTGCCAGGCGCAAGACTCGCCGCACGGGCACCGCGGACTCCCCGCAGGGGGCTCCCGCGGCAGCGGAAGCGACCCCCCTGAACGCGCCGATCCCGCCGAGGCGCTCCCCCTCCTTGGCGCAGACAGAGACGCCAGCCGTACCGTCAGCGGAGCAAGAAGGAGTGGACGGACACGTGGAGGAAGGAGAAGAGGAGGACGAGGGGCTCCGCGCAAAGTGAGTGGCGTGCCAAGAAAGACATCGGGATTTGAATTAGTGGCAGGGGTTGCTTTTTCCCTTTCCGTGCGGGAGACTGAGACCAGACCATTCTGCTTTGGGTATTTTCGACCTGCCTTCGGCTATCTTGGAAGGTATGCGGAAAGTGATCCGAGATATCTTTCTTTGTTACCGTCCTTGAGCGAGCTCGTTGTTGCAATATTGCGCTGCAAGGCTTCAAGACCAGACAATGATTCGGACGTCCTTTTTTCGCGTTTGACGTCCAACTTCTACACACTGACGTCACCAAAACTTTCCGCTCCAATGCTCTGGCGTCCGCTTTCGACGCTCCCCAATTCGTACACTGCCTTCGTCTTCCGTGCCGACGCTTTCCACTCGACGCCCTTTCCTTCCGCTGACGTCCTTTCCCTCCGCTGACGTCCAATTCTCTTGATGCTGATGTCACCTTTGTGTACCGCAGCGTCGCCCCCCGCTCCCCGGGCGCTGTTCTCGAGGAGGCGGAGCCGGCCGCGGCCCCGGCGCAGGAGGGCGCTGACGTGGTGGACCTGGAGATGGACAGCGCAGAGTGAGCACGCCCACCGCTGACATCACACTCGTCATTGACGTTACAGTCGTCCGCAATATGAAAGCCGAACGTGACAGTCCCACTCAATCCTGGAGGTTCATGGAGGGCCGTTTTTCGTGGACTCTGGCCCTCCGTAAACCATCTTTCCGCTGTTTGGGCTCTGCCCCTCAACTTCTCGTTGTTCTTGGTTCCTTCCTTATTGACAAAGTGCCGCCGATGCGGCGCTGGCACAGGCAGTTTTTAGCACCTACTGCAATATTTTCTCCCCTTATTGTTTGCTTCTTTTCCGTCACTCGCTCCTGTGATGTCAGAATCTTTATCGCTCTCTGGAATCCTGGCGTTGGAGTGGCCGTCATGAGAACTTACTACCCAAACTTTCTTTTCAATTGTTTTCAAGCCCTTCCCGCTCTCGCTTCCCATGTCGGCGGCGCTGAAGCAGGTACCAACATGAACATCTATCACGAGAACCCCCTCGATTCGTTTCCGCTCGCCGTCAGTTTTTTCGGATCACTTATCTTTATCTTAGCTTATTATTCTGCTGTCCTTTCCTTGTATCTCCGCCCAAGAGGTAGATTTGAAATTCTCCCCGCTTTCGTTCTCCAGGGTTGCGGCGCTGGAGCAGGGCATCATGAAGATGTTGCTACGATAACCATCCCAGCTCGCTCCTGTGGGAAAGCCTATTTCCTGTTTGCATTCTGCAAACTCCAAATCCTCCCCGCTCTTGTTCTCAGGGTTGCGGTGCTGGAGCAGGGCATCATGAAGATCTACTACGACAACCACTTCAGCTCGCTCCCGTGGGAACTTTTACTTGCTGTTTGCATTCTTTCCGGCAAACTCCAAATCCTCCCCGCTCTCGTTCCTCAGGGTGGCAGCGCTGGAGCAGGGCATCATGAAGATCTACAACGACAACCACCTCAGCTCGCTCCCGGGGGAAGTCTTATTTGCTGTTTGCATTCTTCCCCGCAACTTCCAAATCCTCCCCGCTCTCGTTCCCCAGGGTTGCGGTGCTGGAGCAGGGCATCATGAAGATTTACTATGACAACCACTTCAGCTCGCTCCCGTGGGAGGACCTCCTGCAGCGCGTCAACGAGCCGCGCAGCGACCACGTCTCCATGCAGCAGCTGCGCACCGTCTGCCTGGTGAGCACACACGCAGGCGATTTCCGTTTCAGCTTCCTCCCTCAGATCCCGTAACCCTACTTTCTAACCCTGAACTCCACCCCGAAGCCTGAACTTTGATGATCATCTCCATATTTCAAGTTCCACCTTCCGATTCAAGGCCTTTACGATGCGGCGATTGCGGATCGCCTGCCCGATGATGACAGCGGAAACGTTGAACTACGGACGATAAGGTTTGGGGTCCAAGTCTGACAACCCTAGATTTTCGCACATCTGGAAACTGCACATCCCTTGACCTTGACACCGTAGCTTCCATAGATTCGCATCAGCAGACCGTCTGCCCAAAAGGCTACCATTTCCCGAGGGTTCCAGCTCGTGGGCACCGTAAAACCCTGAAGTTGAGAGACTGCGGCCTACAGCTCTGTCGCTGTTCTCAAACCCCACTGATCTTACGAAACGAGCCTGGCATCAGAATCCCAGCACCCTGCATTATTGCAGATTGGCTGCAATAATGCTTAGCGCCCAAAGTGATCTCCAACTTTCACTTTTGTTACACTTCTATCTCAGGTGAACACGGGCGTAACAAGCAGAGTAATTAATGGCAGGATATATTGAATCGATACGTCGCTGTCCTGAATCCAACGTTGCGCGTGCGTAGCCACGAGTTGCGGAGCAACTCGTCAATTCTACCGATCAAGCAGGCACCGCGTGTCGAGATTGCATTCTGCTGATGTTCTTCGCAAGCAGACTGCCATGAAGAGATATCCTAAGAGAGAGTTCTCATTGGGACTTTGTAAGCAGTCGTTCTGTTACGTCGACGCTGTTAAAATAAACTCCTACGTACACTGTCGAGAAGCGTTGTTGTGAGCCCGCTGATTCCTCAGTATATTCTGTCCAGAGTTTGTTTGCAGAGCGCCTCGTGACTCCTGCTAACCCTGGGCTTTGCAATTTTCAACAGGGCCTTCAAGAGAAGAACGTGGGTATGGTTACCCACGAAGTCTTCTTCAAGTTGTAGAAAGCACCGGCCGATGTGCCACACCATAGCGCAAACGTTGTAGAAGTGTTGTTGTTGTTGACGACCCTTTTCGGCCTGGAGGCGGCCTGTACTCGTCAGGATCTTAAGCCACACGTAAGCAGCAAAGAGTAACCAACGTTCGTTTAAAATCCTAGAACGCTCAAAGCATACACTGAAGTTGCTTCAATGCTAACGTGGCATGCTACTAAACCGCGACATGCTGGTCAGTTTAGCTGTAACAACCACGGGCCAGGCGCAACATGTAGCCTATCCTTGCCTTGGTCGGATCGTGAACGTGTCCACCGCACCGGGCATCTTTCGTTATAGTTCAGTGCCTGAACAGAATGTGCCTCTATTACGGCGCAACCCAAGTTGAACGTTGTGCATTGCTTTCAACGTCCGAAATGCGTATGGTCAAATTGACTTCGTAACTGCGACTTGCGACAAGGTCATTTTAGTCACCTCATGGCAAAAGCTGGCTCAAATTCGTGTTGTCCTTGCTGCACCGATTCTCTGCTTGCATGCTGATAATTGGTGCAAACGATGGATCGTACATGATGCTAGCTCACGTCGAAACGAGCTTGCCGCCCCGGCTAGCTTGGGTGTTTAGTACACGCATTTCCTTCAAGTAGGGAACCTGAATTGCAGTATACTTAATTTGGTCCACTATAGCTCATTCTATACCGTTTAATTCTGTCTGATCCCATGTATGTTCGCCTGGCACGGGCATTGCAACATGCATCCGCCACGCGACTCGATTTGACTCGTCCAACGATACTCTAAATTATGATTTTATAAGACCTCACTGCCAGCGTACTGAGTATCGATCCTTCATAGACTCCCGGCCTATATTGAAATATATAGGTGTCTCATGCATGCATACAATGATATTACTTGGAACATCAAAGTGAGTGTAGGCATGAGTCGTCACTCGTATGCTCAGGCTTGCGACAGGCATGCGACCACGTTAATGGTACCCAGATTGAAACGTGGCAAGCTGCATCTCCAGGCAAGCTCCAGGCTTAGCACACATTGTCCACGAGCATGCTAGTGGGATAGGTATCTTGTCAAAAGTAGCTTTTGTTCAATTGCTCATGGCCGCCAACAAACTTGTAAGGTAGGACACACTTTGGTCGCATGTGCGGCATGGGCTCGATGCGACTCCTCGAGACATCTCTAGGTTCACGATAGTAGTTGTGTCTAGTAAATTCTTCACTGGCAACAATCTTATAGGAAGACCAAAACTGGACATTAGCAAAAATAGTAGCCAGATTACTCGTGCACCATAGAAAGCTGGGACGTAGGAAGCCAGGAATTGAAAGTGGTGCACGAGGAACAAAAGGAACGAGAAGCAAAACATACAAACCGCAAAAGGATTCGGAGTAAAAGGCTCATGGGCCTGGTTTCATCTGACACGAGATCAGTTGAACAGGGTGCAGGAACACCCTTTCAGGGCCAGGTGAAGTCATCGCCAAGATTTGAACCGAGGCGCTTCGCACGGTTGCAGTGTGTGCTACCAATGTGCTGTCGCGCCCGATTGGTGTGGTGTTGACAATGTAAATATATATTTCCTTGATGCGAGCGAGATATTTTATTTTGCCACATCCAACGGCGCAGGATCCATGTTAGGTATCACTCATCGAAGGCCAAAACGTCGGCTTTTATATAAGCGCTCAAAATCTCAGATGCTGGTCACCCGTTCACCAAGCTCTCCTGCCGCTTTTATGCATCTTGGGCGGCTTGAAAATAGTGGTTTCTTGGCGAAATAGCTAGCCGTCCGGAAGGATATCCAGGAAACTCATCGCATACTGCAAGATTTGAAAGGAAGGAATATCCCATCCACGTCTGACCATCTGGTGACCGCATTCACATCAACAGGATCTGGCCTCGTAGAGCAGATTCAGTCCGACACACAAGCTTCGAACAGACGTTACATGTTCTGTGTTCGGCTAGCGCGTCGATCGTATCCAGTCGACAGCCAGGCTTTTGCAAACAGTGGGACATGCTTTCCCGCTTCACAAGCTGGAGAAGCAATTTTAGGGTTCGGGCGTGCACTTCATCAGGAGGAAGAAGCAACTCGCGAGTGGTCGCATCTTTGTTTTCCCAGCTCATGCAGCTCCTTTTGTTCTCTGCATGCTGGGACCCTTTGCAGGAGGAGGAAGCCCGCCCTCCCAATTTGCTGCAAACAGCTGCAAGGTGGGTTTTATGCACCCTGCGCGATGCGGTGGCAGATCTGACGCTTTGCGGTTTCACACTTTCAACTTTTAGAGAATCTTGTGTTTTTACAGCAGCTCCCTCAGAGCTCCAAAGCTGTTAAGGAATGCTTGTGATGGGAAAGATGGCATTGTTATTCTCTTTACAGAAGAAGTGTGTCTTTAGGGTTGACTTCTAATTCAATGTTGTCGGGGTTGTAACTTGCACGCTGGTTTCAGGATCTTCATCGTTGCCATGTCTGATTTGTATTCCTTTGTCCCGGCAGGTTGGCTTTGGCACTTTGGGGGAAGCAAGTTTAAGAAGTTGGACAAGGGCCAGTCAGACTCCTCGCTGAAGTTGGTAGTGCTGGCAAGGAAGATTGGTTTGTCACAGCTTGAGACTCTCTTCGGGTCATCAATTGTCGCTGTAGAGCCTCTCTTTTTGCTGGGACTGTCGCAAGCATACATAGCTCTTCGTGAGGAGCTCTATTGTCTTCACTTCTGTGAAACAATAGCATTTGGCAGTGTCGTTCTTGGAGGGGTTTTAGGGTTGCTCAAATTCAAGTGAAAGCACCTTAGTGCTGTTTTGGGACAGGATTTAAGCGCAGGGGAGCAGTTTGGAAGAAGTGAGCGGAACATTGAGTTCTCATCATGAGAGTGGCGTGGCGCTAGGGTTTAGGAGTAACTGAAACTGCAAAGAGGCCCTATGGGGCTGGAAGTGCATTCAGAGCCAAGCTTTAGAGCTGAGGCAAGGACAGGTAATGGAACCCTAGAGTCGCGGTGTAGGGAATGCAGCATCACCACAAGTGCTGAGCAGCATGCAGAGGGAGGCGACAGTCTTTGCTTCACGTGCGGCCTCTTTGCCTTGACTGAGAGAGGTGAGGGCTGCTTCGAGGAGCATGTAGGCTCAGAACCCCTAAAAACATTAAACACACTGGAGAATAAGGCTGGGGGGGTTAGTGGAAGCGAAGGGGTTTCCGATGAGAGAGCAGGGGGCGAGAATGTTGTCTCTGGCCCTGGGGAGGCGAATGCTGGGGTCAGTGGAGCCGGAGCAGGGGGGGACTTTACAGCACAGAGGCATGCGGTGGCAACCCCTAATTTCAACTCAAGCGAGAGGGCAGGAGGAGCTGAGTTTGAAAAGCTAGGGTTACAAGCGGGGGGGGCTCCAGATGCGAAATTAGGGGTTGAGGCAGGGGTTGAAAGTCACTCAGCGGGCGGCATTCGTGGAAAGGCGGGGGTTTTGCTCACTGTGAGTGGGGTTGATCCTACTGAGAGGCCAGCCAGCCAAAACCCTAGTGCTGAGATTCCTGCCACAGACAGGGAGGATGTCGCTCCAAGTCCAAAGGCCCAATCTTTCCCCTCTCCTGCTCCTCAGAGTCATGGGGCGCTGTGTGTGCACTGCAAGGGGAAGCCCGTGTTCAACAAGAAGGAGAGCCTGTGCAAGTCGTGCGCGCATGCCAAGTGGCGGTATGGCTGGGAGGAGTTTCCCCAGGGGTGGAAGCCTGGGGACCGGTTGAAGGGAATTGAGAAGAAAATGCGAGGTGGGGCAGTTGAGAATGAGAACAGGCGGCCGACCTCACCAGGCAAGCGAGGCAGCCTGTCAAGGCTGGAGCAGGAGAGAGAGCGTGTGCTTGCTGAGGGCTGGAAAAGCGTCGCCAAGCGGGAGAGGACCACTGTCAGGAGTTTGAGAGCCGGGGCAAACCCTAGCTGGACCAGGTATGGCGAGGAGCATTTTCCCTGGGATAAGCCGTCTCTTGGTGGGGGTAAGGGGGTTCTGGCGGCACTGCTGGCTGCCGAGGGAAGCGCGCATCTGCTCGACAGGAAGCTCGCAGATTCGCTGTCCCGGAAAGATCTGAGCCCCAAAGTGCCCCCTGAAGCGATGAACTCTGAGAAGCACTCAGGGATTGACATCTTGCGGGAGGCTGCGAATCAGGAGAGGGCGCGGGAGCAGGGCGCGCCGGGGGGGAGGACGGCGATATTCTCAAAGGGGCTGCCCAGGCTGGAGACTGAGAACACGGAGGAGGAGGAAGTGCTGGAGACGATGAGGATCATGAGCCCCGCTACGTTGCAGCAGACTGTGTATCCCAATGAACCGGCGAGTCTGGTGGTAAGTTTCTACGAATTGTGAATAGTGGTTGCTCTCTTTTCTGGTCTGGTGGGAAGCCAATTTAGGGTTCATATAGTGAACTAGGGTTTGGCAGACGGGATACTGGTAGTCCTGGCAGTGATGGTGGGGGGCTGATCTGTTGTTGGTTGCTGCGGCCTTCCTGATGTCTGTTCTACAGGAATGGCTTGCATGCTGCATAAAGATAGGGTTTGGGGTATCTGCATTACAGCATTGCGGTTTCTTCAAAAGCTAGGGGATGCTAGTAGATTTTGTCCATTAAGAAGGAGTTCCACTAAGAAGGAGTTCGGTGTGTGCCATGCATTAGCTTCAAAGAACTGGGTTTTCCAGCAACCATAACCGTCAGGAGTAAAAGAAGACTGACGATTTGACAGCAATAAATATGAGGCCTCCTCTTGGATTCTCATACTGTAGTGTTCTGGGCTTCAGCAAGACTTGCTGAGGGGGTTCAGTCGTAATTGTCTGTGAGCTCTTTGAGTTGCCCCATTTTGCTGGTTAGGGTGTAGAGCTCGCCCTTTCTTTTTTCTTCATGTGATATAAAGAACGTAAGGTCTGCTTTGCAACAAGGCAAAGCAATGCCTATAATGTTCCAGTGACTCGTTGCCCAAGTTTCTTATGTATCAAAGGCTGTTTAGAAAGGCTTGCTTCTTATGCAGATAACGACCGAGGTTTTACGGTTTTGGAACCTTGGTTTGTGCGGGTCTGCAGTTGCTGAGTCGAGAGACTTATCTTAGAGTCAGGCTTTTTGAATACTTGGTTCATTAGACAGGGCTGCATTGAGCCTACTTTTGTAGTACGTTCATTGCCTATCCCGAGGTTTCTGTATGTGTACTTTTGACTTGCTTGAGAAACAAACTCAGGTTCAATCAGGTTAATAGGTTGTCAACTTGAGCACTTTCTGCATTCCATCAACACGAGTTCACCACTTGCACTTCTGCTGTTTGAAACGCAAGTCTAAAGGTTCATGTCCTTCGGTTTGCACCCCTTCTTTGTGTATTACTTGGATTGAAGAGCTTGGGAAAGGAACTCATTTGGTGCATAATTCCCTTTACGCTGCAGACCATTGAACTTGATACTCGAAAGGGTTTCATTCTGAAACTGCGAATCTGCCCAGGCTTCAACGATCTCTGATTCAATACAAAGGTTGACTGGCTTTGGTTCACTCTTCGTAGCAGGAAGTACTTTTGCCAACAAAAGGACGTTGAGTCCAAGCCTGATTGATTCCATGTTATAAAACTGCCTTCGTTCATTCACAGCTTTCGAAAGAGGAAACAAAGCTTTTGCAAATCTGAATAAGCGGAGCTTTCGTCGCTGGAAAGGTGAAACACGACGTCAATTGCCATCTATCCAGGATGAACGTCTTTCCGGAACTCGTTTGAATGATTCCTCAGTGAACTTGGTCCCTGTAAGCTCTTCCCTTGGACATATTGTCAATCTCTAATCCTGACTGCTCAAGGAACGATTCGTTTCGTGAATCTCCCTTGAATAACCCTTTAACTTGTGTAGGTTTTTAGCTTCCTGAAAACTAGTGTGCCAGAGTTTCGCATGGTCCCACCGCTATAGAATCAAGAGACGAATCTCTTCTGCTCTTCCCTGCATGCATGCATCTTTCGTGACGCCCCAATGGATGAAGTTTCATCATTGAGCTTCTTCACAACATTCCTTTACAGCTCTTTGTCTCCCTTTGCAGACAATCCCCGATTTTCTTCTTATAATTATGACAGTTAAGTCCAATAGACACATGACACAAGAGCAGTATTGCATCAATTGTTTAAGCATCGTCGGTTACCCCCTTGCAGAAAGTCGCTGTCGCTGCGCAAGTCCTCTTAGAAATCGCCACCTCGCCCCGGGACCCCCCTGGCGACACCAAACCGCACGACGAGACGCAGTCCTCCGAGCAATGGAAGAGGCCGCCCCCCTCTCGCTTCGTGGCCTCGGCCGCGCCGTTCCCCGAGGCCGCTGCGAGCAGCCTCGGCCCCGAAAACGACGACCTGCGATCACGGGTGGGGGAGAACCAGCCCTCGTACCCCCCCTCCAAGTGGGGCGACCACGAGCTGGACGACCTGCCCCTGAGGTCGCCGGACCTGGACGTACACGACGAGATGCAATTGGGGGGGGAGGCCGTTAGTCTGGAAGACCTGGGGGTTCTGAAGGGGGGCAAGCGGCGATCAGTGACGCTACCAATCCAAACGGGCAACTTCCCCCCCCGGATCGTGACGGATGGTTGGACCCCCCGGTTGGACGCAGACCCCCCGACGCTGGGCACTGCAACGGACGGCTGGACGCCCCACCAAGATCTGGAAGGATTCACGCCCCGAGGGGAGGGGTTGAACGGGCTCACGCCTAGGGGCGGGGAGGGGGGCGAGTTGAACAACACCCCCCGGAGCAAAACGCCGAGCTTCCACGACATTGCGGCGAACGTGTTCAAAGCGGGGCGAGCGGCGGCGATTGCTGGCCGTCGAGGGGGATTCCAGCGACCCCCAAGTGCCGATATGAAGGCGAAGTCGCCCCTAGGGGAGGATGTCTTTCCAGGGGTGTCGCCTCGAAGGACGAACGCACACCCACAACCGTCGGTCACGGCAGAGGAGTCCACCCCCCCGGAAGAGGACGACGAGGACAGCAACGAGATGTCGCCGTCAGCAAACCGTCGGAAACGGAAGCTGAAGGCGCGCCAGGCGCAGGACACTCGTCCCGGAGACACGGCATCGGGCGAGGAAGGGAAAGCCGACAGCGGGGGCTCCGAGCAGGACGCCCCGATCGTGAGTCCGGGGATCCATAAACGCGGGCGCACCCGGGCGGTTCTCGGGCGGAACACGAGCGGAACGGCGGAAGAGGGGTCGCGGGACCCTGGGCAAGCGGCTGCGGAAGCGCGGCCCGGGGGAGCCCCCGGAAAAGGGCCGATTGAGCCGCCGAAGAAGCGGAAGGGCTCGTGGGGAGGCGCACGGCGGCGCGGGGAGAAAGTGGTGCTGCCGGACTCTGAGGAAGAAGAGGCGATCCTGCCGAGGATCGAGTCGGCGTCCGAGGCGAGCCGCGGCAAGCGGCCCCGGCCGTCGGTGTCGGAGGAGGCGCGGAAGAGCTCCGGGGGGAGCGGGTTGTTGGATTTGGTGAAGGGGCGGTGGGACGATGCGCAGCGGCTGAGGGACCGCGCCACCGCGAAGCGCGCGGAGGCGGAGCGGCTGAAGCGCGTTGCGGAGACGAAGCAGCGGCTCGCGCAGCGGCTGATTGAAAAGTAAGTGGCGTTTGATGGAAGTGCTGATATTCTGAGGTCATCCCTGGCATGCCCTTGGCTACGACAAAGGCGTTCGGGCCCAGGATTCCGCAATCTTGAGGTTTCTCTGTCGCTGTTAAACTGACATGCTGCATCGAAACTCAGCCTAGATCCTGCCGTGTTCGAGTTATCATCCATCAGGAGGTTGATTGGCAAAGCGCGCTTCTGAGCAAACGCGTTGGCAAAGTGGATCGTTGCATGTTTGCTGAAGGACGGCTGCATCTGAGAGTTTTATCGATGACGATGTCCGCAAACGTCATCCTTCTCCGTATGGTCTTGAGTAAATCTCGAACGCTTAGTCCAGCCAGCATCTTGTTTTCGAAGGCTGGTCAGCTCTAGATTTCGGTTGAGCTTTAGCCAGTCTGTAGAGAGCACTTCTCTGAAATGAGTGCGTGTGAATTAGGGAAGGCGTATTGTGAGCCGTCAATTTGTAGTTTATACTTTTATCAAGTTAAGGTATACTTTAGTCGTGTTCATGAAAAGGTTGTTTTTGTTTCAATTGCTGACGATACGTACTCTTGCCTACAGAGCGACGGAGCTGGGCAACTGGCCGCCCGGTAGAAAGGCCAAGGCGGACGAGCGGGCGCGGCGGCAGCAGGCGGCCAAGAAGCGGAACGCCGACGAGACGGAAACGGAAGCGGAGGTCGAGGACGCGCCTAGCGACGAGGGTTCGGACGACGATGAGGACTTCTCGCTGGACGGGGACCCGTCCGGAAAGACGCCGGACGAGGACTGGGGCGACGAGGAAGGAGACGGGTCCGAAAAGGGGCAGGAGGGGGAGTCGGAGAGAGTGAGTCTTGAAGTTTGCTGTGCAAAATAAGTTGTGCAAAGTAAATTGGAGGAAGGTGAGGAAGTTGTGGAGTTTGCTATTGGTGTCTGTTATGGACTGCAGTGCAACCTTCACGAGAAGGGCCCGGAAGGAGATCCAGAGGGAGTAGCGAGCTTTGGTGTTTGCTGCCGGTGCTGTGCAAGTTTGATGCAGCGCAGCTCTGTGGACGCGCCTCTGGGAGAGGCTTTTTGCGTTCTCTGGACGCTCGAGGCGGCCGTCAACGTGAGAATGGACATAAACGATCCGCCAAGCTGCAAAATTCAATCCTGTCGGGACATGTCCAACTTCCGTCCTGGAACAGAGGCGGGCTAAGATCTTGTTTCCGGAGACTCGCGTACTTGTCTTGTCGAACCGGTTCCAAGCTTTTGTCAGAGAAACTTCTTTATCTTTTCCAGCTCAAGAGTCCGCGTTCAACAAAAGCACTTGCTTTTCTCTTGCCTTTACATTTAAAGTGTTCATAGTCTCTCCCAACGGCTTGAAACCTGATATGGATTTTTCATTACTCGCAGATGCTGTCGGTCGAGCCAGCCAGCACCGTGCCCGACCAGGAGCGTTGCGTCACTAGCGACAGCCGAGGCTGGCGCTGCCCCCGCCCGCACCTGCCCGGCTCGCAGAAATGCGACCGGCATGACACTAGCAACCAGCCCAGGTCAGTGACAAACCTGGTCCCATTTTACATTACATCCAAGTATCAATGTCCAAATTCCGAGAGCCTGGGGATTCGTTTGGCAGAATGCTGCCGAGGACAGAAACGTTTCTTTGGCAACGTACTGGAGAGAGTGATCTGGAGGTTCTAAAGTTCGATCCGAGAGTCAGTCGTGCCGTCTTTGCCGCTGGGAGATACTCGGCTTTTCTCTGCTTGATTCTCGCAACGAACTGCAGAGAATGATGTCAGGGTCCTGGAGTTGGATCCAAAAGTCAGGTGTGCCGTCTTCATCTTGTTGAGGGGCTCCGTTTTTCTCTGCTTGAGTTTGCTTAAAACAAGGAGTTTAATCAAGCAGTGACCCACAGGCAAGATAGGTTGACTCTGAGCTCCTCCTTCGAAGTAGGCACAAGCGAGTTATCAATCAAGAAGTAGCACACCGCGCAGGGACTCAAGACACTCTTTTGACCATAATATGCAAGCACCGAGTCATCGAAGGAAGCACAATCGAACATACCCCTCCTCGAGACTCTCTTCCATCCTGCATAATGGCTTGTCTGACTCTTCCACCCATCTTCTCCATCTCAGAAGCTACACCAAATCAGAGACGAGCTCGCGCCGCCCCGAGGAGGCCGCCACCGCCGACTCGTGCCCCCCCTTCGTCGACCCCCTGGAACCCTTCAAGCCGAAGAAGCACTTCGGCTTCCGCGGGCGCACCAGCTTCCGTCCCGAGCACATGCAGCACCTCGCGCTGCGTCCCCCGGGCGCGTCCCCCGACCCGAAACCAGAGGGGGATCCCCCTCCGGAAGACCCACCTGGGGACCAACCGAGGGAGGGCTTTTTGGATCCCGAGGAGTTGCTGCAGCTTGCCAAGGCGCGGCAGCTGAAGCGCGCGCGGTCGGCGCGGCGGCACGGGCCGGAGGTGCCCGGTACGAACGGCCCGGGGGCCGATGCGGGTGGGTCTGGAGGTCCAGGAGTGTCCGGGGGATCCCCCGGAGAGGTAGCCGGAGAAACGAGAAACGGGGGTGGGGAGAGCGGATCCGAGGAGAGATTGAAGCGGGCGAAGCTGTCGCCTGGGGAGGATATGGCCGAGCTTTTGACGGGGGATCCAACGGGGGTTTTGCAAGACGGGCGACAACCGAACGGGCCAACCGGGCAGCTTGCGGGGGTTAAGGGGCTTGGGGTTAAGCAATCGGTGACCAATCCTCCGATTCCTGGAGGGTTTGTACAAATGGTTCAGTCGGCGGCCCAGACCGAGCCCCAGAGATCCTCCTTTGGCGAGTTTGGGGCCAGGGTTGACGTGGCAAGGCTTGACCCCGTTGGGGTTAACCCCTTCGCCGCTAACCCGGTTCTTACCAGCACAACCCCCCTCAGCAGTACCTCGGTTCCACCGTTGATAAGTCCAGGGCCCAGTCACTGGGCGGGTCGAGCGGTCGGTACAACTCCGCCGTTGACGGGGCCTTGGGAGGTGCCCGGACGTCCGGAACCAGCGGGCTTTTTGAACAACGGCGTCGCCCCGTTTGTTGACATAGGGGGGCCCCTACAGCCGCTGACTTACAGGCCGCAAAATGGGCTGACCTCAGCTCCCGAGCGGGGTGAGGTCAGCACGGCGAGCCAGGTTGGGATTAGTGGGGATGAGAGCACTGGCTTTCTGTATGGGCCTGTCGTTCTACACGAAGAGAAACAAGTGAACGGAATAAACGGAACGCAGAGCGGCCCGTACACAACGTACCTCGGGCCGGCCGTCGTGCCCTTGCCAGGCGGTGCGAACGAGCTCGCCGGCACGAACGTTGCCGCCTATTTCGATGAGCCGCACTCCCTGCTAAATAATGGTGCCCCTCTTCCTGTTGTGTCGGATCTTGCGATGAAGCTGGATCAACCGGGGAGAGAAGGAAATGGCGCCAAAACGAACGGGACGAACGGCGTGCACCGGGCGTCGTCGAAGCGGGAGAATAATAGCGGGATGGGGGTGACGCGGAGCCGGGCGATCGAGGATGGGCTTCCCGTGGGCCGAACGTACACGTTACCGGTCGAGCTGAAGCTCCCGGTGGAGTTGCGGCAGCCGATGGAGCTGCAGCCGTTTGTTCAGCGGGGGAAGCGGCAGACGACCAAGAAGAAGAAGCGCATCCCGCCGCCGATCGACGGCATTGATGACTCGATGCGGTGCACAAAGACGGGGGGTTCCGGGTGGAGGTGCAACCAGAGGCGGTTGGAGGGGTATGCAAAGTGCGAGCGGCATATGGAGATTGTAGCAAAGAGATCAAGGGTCGAGGCGACCAAGCCCGCCGAGGATGCCCCAAAAGAAGGCCCTGAAATGCGGGGTCCCGAGAACGAGGTTGCGATGGTTGAGGAGGTTAAGTAGGATAGTGCTGATGGACAGCTTCGTTGACTGAAGCACAACAGTCTTCTTCAATGATTGCCGGCCTTGAGCGGACCTTTCAATGGTTGTCTCACTGATGGTGGTGTTTTTTGTGTAAAACGCAACATATGACAGGAACCGAGTCGGTTTTGTGATGAGCACCTTCCGTTCTCGACCCTCCTATATGGTCGTGTGTGGTTCTACCAGATTGAGGCATGCATGGAGTGTGATTTGACATGTCAGTAAGCTGAGCCGATTCGTCCTCTCATGAGCCTCTTAAGTTAAGTAAGCCACTCCATGATGCGCACGGGCTCGGAGCCACTGAGGCGCGTTTGCTCATGCAACATGCATGATGGGCGTGGCGGCTCTTGCATGGTGACCCCCACATTGTATTGAAGAGATTGATTGGTAGCACCCATGTAGACAACGACAAGTTGCAGCGCTGCACGACTCGTGATTGAGCGGCCGCCCACGTTGCTTACAAGTCTATTTATATTTAGCAAGGGCTTAAATAGATTGACGAAACCATTTTGGCTTATTCATAAGCTTTCCAGCCAAGCGCTAAAGACGGCATGCATGAGGATAGACAAGCAGGGCGCCGCACGGCCAATAGACTGCAGAGAAATGTTCAAGTGCCTTTTTTGGGGGGCAAACTACTAGCCATCATCATCAGCATTGGTGTTATGCAATGATGTTGGTATCCTCGTCCTGTTGAAGGCTTCTCGAGTCTCGACTCTGCCTCGACGCTCATTGATCGCGACTCGCGAAGCCGGCGTGTGCCGTGGTTTGGTTGTATTAGCACCCTCTGGGATGTCGGGCTCCCCCGAGCCAAGCCATCAAGCCAATTTGATCTGCCCAGGCCATGCAGTGCGAATAACCTAACAACCACACTGAGTGATGGTACGCTTGCGGCTTGCCGGTACACGGTGGGGTACCTAAAAACCGAGGAATGCACTTGCAACCAATCAGAAGAGCAGCAGCGAAACTTAAATCACCGGCAGACCCTCCGATATAGAGGTTTGGGGGGTCACCGACGGCCGGATCTCATCGTTCTGCGCCCGAATACACCGTACGGGGCGCAGGTGAGACGTCGTATACGGCCGCGGTTAAGTAGCACTGGTACCGGTTGCCGGTCAGCGCGGTCTGAGGGTCGCCGGTGTCGCCGCGGTCGTTGCGCGCGCGGTGGAGTCAAGGTTGTACGGCATATAAGGCGCGCATTAAATGCGAGCGGAGACTGCGGGGACCACTTAACCACTGATTGGCAGTACTGGAGTGGTCAGTGGTCAGTGAACTGCAGTAGTGCAGTACTGCGCGGTCACTGGACTGCAGTAGTGCAGTACTGCGCGGTCAGTGGACTGCCGTCAGTGGACTGCCGTCAGAGCAATAGAGTAGTAAGCAGTGCTTATTAGTAAGAGGACATTCCTGGAGGTTGAGGCGGCGCTGCTTTTTGATGAGAAGAAGTGGTGGTGCATACAAGCCTTGGAGTGGGCGCTGTAGGAGGCCTCTCCATTGGCTTGATCTATTGATCCTGCGGCGTTAGGGGAGTGAAAATATTCTGTAATGATGGCGGAGCCAGGGTTAGCGGTCGTGCCAGTGGGCGGGGTTGGGCAGGGGCAGGTTGGCTTGGCTGTGGATGAAAAAGAGAGGTGAGTTTATGTGTTTCGCATGGTTTAAGGGTGGGTTGGGTGGGTCGAAAATTTTCAATTTTCTCGTCTCCTTGGAGCGCCCCTTCTGGCGCCTCCCCTTTTGCGCAATCAACTTGAACAAAGCGCAATTAGGACGACGCTTCTTCAAGGCGCCAACCCGCCAGTCTGACGCGGCCGGGCTTAAGGAGGTTCAGGGTTTTAATTAATTGCAGCGTGGCCGGCTAGGCGGCCGGGCCTATTGGCGGCGTGCGACTTGCAGTTCTACCGGTCTCTGCAGGCCCAGCGTGCCTGCAACTTATAGCAGCTTAGCATTCCCCGAGCCTAAATCCGGTAGAAGGCTACGTTCTCTCTGAGCCGCACAATCTCCCATCAAGCGGCCGGCGAACATTCCCCTGCCTGAAAACCGAGGAATGCACTTGCAACCAATCAGAAGAGCAGCAGCGAAACTAAAATCACCGGCAGACCCTCCGATATAGAGGTTTGGGGGGTCACCGACGGCCGGATCTCATCGTTCTGCGCCCGAATACACCGCCCCAAAAATGCCAATTGTCACCAGACAACAGTTATTGACAAATAAGTGGGCTTACTTGCTGCAGGCGGGAGTTCCAGGCGCGGTGTCAGGCTCACGTTCTCTCCGTGCGCGGGATCCATGGCGGGCGTGGTGGGGGCACGAGCTCAGTTTGGAGCGCGGCCGAAACAAATGCGTTGTACGCCAGGGCCTTGACGGAGTTCGGGGAGATGGCAGAACGGAAGGTTTCGGCAGCTGCGAATAGCTCGCGCAAGCGGACTGCAGAAGAATTCGCAGCGTTCCTTGGTCGGAACCCTTACGGGGTTAGCATTGAGACCGCTTCTCCTGCGGACGTCGGTGCTTTTATCGTCAGTGACTGGCTGCCCCGACACAGCGGGAATTGCAGGACGGTGCTGCCGTCTACTGGAAAGACGGTGGCTTCTGCTTCTGCTGTGAAAGGGGTCGTGAAGGACCTGTCAAAAACATACACGTTGTTGGGGTACGCCGCCGGGCACGAGAACCCGGCCAAGTCAGAAGTTGTTAAGTCTTATCGGGACGGCTACGAGCGTTGCCTGCACGACGAGGATGTGAAGGTCCAGCGCGCCAAGGTTTTCACCGAGGTGAAGTTGGATGCGCTGCTTGCGCACATGGCCGACCGCGTGAAGCAGGAGACGGACGCTCTGGAGCTCTGTACGCTGCTGATGGACCAGGCGGCCGTGTTGTACCTGTGGGAATCGTTAGCTCGGGGCAAGGAGTGCGGTGCGCTGAGCGCGCGAGAAATTGAAGGAGGAGCCGCTCCTGCAGCGTACCCTGGTTGGAGCAAAACTGTTCACAAGAACCCAGTGCGCGTAGTCCGTTGGCCCAGGCTGGGACGGGAGTTAGGCTCACCTTCGTCGAAGCTGCTGCACAACTGATTAAGGGTTTGGAGATCCTTGGCGACCCGAGTCCAGAGGACGGTTACCTGTTCAGGGCGCAAAATCGGCAACGAACCGGATTCTCGCCGGGTCCAATTTCGAGCGCCTGCCTGCGGAAGCGAATTCAACGACGACTGCAGCAGGCAGGGTTGTTTGAGGGGGAGACCCTGCATAGTTTCCGTAGGTCAGCAGTGCAGCATGCGGCAGTCAACCTGAACTATAACGTGAAGCAGTTGATGGAGTTAGGGCGTTGGAAAAGTTACTCTGCCTTCAAGGTCTATGTAGAAGAAATCTGGCATCGGCGCTAGAGAACAGTTACAATTGAATGTTAATTGTCAGATGTTACTCCGTGTTCTCACTATGCTACCTGTGCGCTCATGTATCTGATGCACTGCCACATTACTCCGCAATTGCTTTGTCAACTACCATGTTATCAGGAACGCCTGCAACTTATACAGCGCTGGATTGGCCGTCCCTTTGGGGACCCGATGACTAGGCGTGCATGTGTCCGTGCTGTGTGGCAGGATCACCGGTCCCCTCACTGATGCTCGCTTGTTGATGCCGCTCAGCGCCAGCCACCAGTTGGTTGCCGGCGCCTCTGGGACTATGACCACGCAGCTGGTTTCGAAGCGCTGGATTGCCGTCACGACTTCGCTAAGGAGTCTCACTGGTGGAAAAATCCAGGCTATCTCTCCGGGTGCCAGCACGTCCCGCCAGTCGACCCGCAGCGCATCTGCTGCGATGCAGCCGGGAGTGATGTGCTGGCTGAAGAACCGATCGGACAGGTGCCACGTGTCCGACGCAAACAGGTCCAGCGCTGGCTCCACGCCGAATTCCCCCTTGATTCTGCGTACCTGCCCCGCACTCAACCCCCAGTCGGAGCTGTCCTGGAATTTGCTAAGGTCATCTTCTTCCTGCATCTCTAGGCGCGGCTTCTACTGGGCCACTACGTCGAAGTCCCCCCCCACGCACAGCTCAAACAGCTGTCTGAGCGCGGCGTTGACGTCGGGGGCGCGGCTATTCATGGCGTTCACCGCCCTGACCGCCCCTTGGTTGTCTCCCTTCAGCAGCACCGCGGCTCCCCGCAGCACCTCCCCCGCTCGCTCGTGTGCTTCCGTCAGCACCCGCAGGAACGCCACCGTTTCCCTTGCCGTGCTGGACATTTTCCTCTCGTCCTCCGAGAGGGTCCCGACAACCGAGAGCTTCTCGCCCCCGGGGATCTGAATGGTGCCTCCAAAGCCGGTTTCCGACGCGTCCGAACCAGCCTCCGCCGTTATGCAGCGCGGGAACCAGCGCCTGCCGTTCCATTCCGGCAGCCGCTGCAAGAACAACTCCGTTGTCCGCTTCGCTGCCTGGGGCGTTGAGAAGACGTCATCCCACGTCAGCTTCCCTTGGATTGCTGCGAAGAACGGCCGGCTATAGAGGGACGCCGGCAGCACTGCCGGGCTGACGGAAATCACCTTCCCCGCCACCTTGGCCAGCTCCCGGGGCGTGACGTCAGCGCTCTCTGCCAAACCCCTTAGCGCCGCCCGCAGCTTCTCCATCTTTGCAGGGGCTACGGCGAAGCGCTGGGCTACCGTCTCGATGATAAACCCCAGCCAAGGCCCCTCTTGTTGCGGCCAGAGGTTGCACTTGGGGATGCTGAGGACCGCTCCGCACAGCGTCAGAAGCTTGATGATGAAGATCGTCGCCCACAGACAGCGGTAGAAGTCGATGTCCCCTGTGAGCCCGTCGTCGAGGTAGCTCGAGACGGGCACCGCTCGCAATCGGATCTCCTTACTCAGCTCCTGGGTGAGGAGAGTGTAGAGGAAGCAAGCTGCCGACCACCCGAAGCACATCGCGTTGTAGTGCATGTAGACTTCTCCGATCTTGATCCCGAAGTACTTGCGGTAGGCCGGGTTAATCAGGACGTGGTAGTACCCGGCCTTGAAGTCCCAGGTCGTGAAGAAGGAGGCCTGCGTCAGAAACGTGAGGACCTCGCGCAGCGTCTCGTACTTGAAAGCGTGCTTCTTCGAAAACAGGTTGACGTAGCGGGCGTTTACCACCAGCCGCCCCTTGGGGAGGTTAACCACTCCGAGTGGGTTGACCACCTTAGGCTTGCCGTCTCCCGGGCCGTACACGTGCAGGGTACCGTTTTGGACCATCTTGACTGCTTCCCCCACTGCGAACGGGGCGTTGTCGTAAAAGGACTGGTGGTTCCGGAATTCGACCTGATGGGGAACTTGTCCGTGAAGCAAGTCGTCCACTTCGAGGGGTTTGACGGTGCGGGCGAGCATCGCCCTAACTTGCTCGCGTTTCTTGGGCTCCGCTTCTTCGGTGCCCACAAACTGAGGTTTTATTCCCGCAGCGAGCATCTTAAGGACCCGTTTCGAGGACTCCCGTTTGGAGTCTTTCAGCAACTCTTGCCAGGCCGGGAGGTGCCGCCCAAAGCTGCCGGCCACAAACTTCTCCGGGTCGGACGTGTGGTCTCCGACGTTCCTCACCCAGGTTTCCAACTCCCCTTTCATTTCGGCGGACATTTCTGATCCCCCCGCCGGGCCTGGTGCTGTGCGCAGGACTTCTCGCACAGCTTTCCGAAGTTGCTCTAGATCTGGGATAGGGGCCTGCCTGACCTTTGATCCCGGCAAAGAAAGCGTGTGTGCAGGCGTCGAGCGCCACGGACACGCCTTCTGCAAGCGGATCTGTGGCTGTGTCTGGCTGCAGCTCCTCGAGCTCTTTGTCGGGCCCGCTACCCGCCAGCTCCGTGGCGTTATGAGGCGCTTTGGGCAACCCGCTCGGGTTTTCTGCCTGCGTCACGTTTTGGTCACGCTCGAAGGCGTCTGGGGGCCCCTCAGATTTCTTTCCAGGGCTGTCGACTTTTGCTCCGCCCTGCTCGCTTTGGGGGAGCGTTTTGTTCTCGCCCTTCGGGGCCGCTCCGTTTCGAGCCGGCAGTTCGCCACTTCGTGGCGCGACCGCTTCTGCGTTTTCCTCCGAGCCACGTGGCGGGGTTTGCGCCGGGTCGGTGGCTGTGACGCCTTGCTCCGTGGCCCTGGTGAATTCATTGTGAAGTTCAGTTTGAATAGAGCCGCAGCGGCGGTCTCGGGGAGCCAGGAAAAAACGCACCATTCGCCGGCCAGTTCTTATATAGGAATAAGCGGGTTCCGACTAACCCGATTCTGAATAAGGGGCCCCGTAGCCGCATGTGCAAGTCGCTTCGCTAATCCACGCGGGCGGAGAAGGATTCAGCCCGATGGGCTCGGAAAACCTGGTTCGGACTTAACCCAAATTTAAGTTGACGAATTTTTCTCAGAAAATTCTCCGCTGCCAGTCGTATACCTTCTGGCTTAACGAGGTGGACCGAATTTATGAACTCACAAATTTTGTGTTCCTCCTAACCTCGCGGTAATTTTCCTTAACCCACTCTAACCGCGCAGTTAACCCGGTTAACGGGCGGATTTACACCAAAGCAGGACGTTCCAACTTTGAAGGCCATACAGTGGTCAAAACCTCTTTTTCTGGTGGCCCGAAGAGAACCAGCTTCGGTTCATTAGCTATGCCCCGTCTTTTTTGTACAATTAGAACTTTACAGAAGTGCATTTGGACACCTGTAGCTCCAGATATGACCGAATACGTGTTGGCAGGCAATTTTTCCCGGCCGGAGAGCAGAACACGCCCGAGATGCAGATGCAATAATTTGATCAAAGCATTCGAATCCCATCTTTGAAAGTAAACTCAAAGCATACCTAATGACCTGCTTTCAAGATCGGCTTCGATCAAATCACTGAGACCGATCTACAAACATTTTATCGGATTCAGGAACACAGTCGAAACAACTTCATCTTACAAGGAACTTGTTGGGATCAGACACTTTTCATCCCTTGAAGTCAGCCGCCGATGATCCATCATGTTTGTCCAGTTCGGAACTCTTAGTGTTACGTTTCTATTTCCAACTATTTCGCTGCTCTCCTATACTTCTCTTCTACTCCAACGTGGCTTCGTGGGGCTTTCTCTGTCTTTCGCTCCCCGAATCTCTTACCTACGACTTGCCCGATTTCCTGGGGCCTGACGGTCGCGGTCCTCACGATCATCTCTGTCCCGATCGTCGGCCCTTCTCTTGCCGCCCCAGCCGAATCCTCTGCCGGAGCCTCCAGATCCGCTCATGTTAAGCGGAGGGAGTTTCGTTAGTCGGAGCCGCTTCAGGTGTGACGATTCGAGTCTATGAACTCTTCATATCGAACTCGTCCCAGTATATTGTCCGCGCGCGTATGGCGTATCTGCTATCT